ATCTGTTTGTGTCCTCTCTTATTTCATTGAGCAGTGGCTTGTAGTTCTCCTTGAAGAGGTCCTTTCCGTTTCTTGTTAGTTATATTCCTAGGTATTTTATTCTCTTTGTAGCAATTGTGAATGGCAGTTTGTTCTTGATTTGGCTCTCTTTAAGTCTGTTATTGGTGTATAGGAATGCTTGTGATTTTTGCACATTGATTTTGTATCCTGAGACGTTGCTGAAGTTGTTTATCAGTTTCAGGAGATTTTGGGCTGAGACGATGGGGTCTTCTAGATATACAATCATGTCATCTGCAAATAGAGACAATTTGACTTCCTCCTTTCCTATTTGAATACCCTTTATTTCTTTTTCTTGCCTGATTGCTCTGGCTAGAACTTCCAATACTATATTGAATAGGAGTGGTGAGAGAGAGCATCCTTGTCTAGTGCCAGATTTCAAAGGGAATGCTTCCAGTTTTTGCCCATTCAGTATGATATTGGCTGTTGGTTTGTCATAAATAGCTTTTATTATTTTGAGATACGTTCCATCAATACCTAGTTTATTGAGGGTTTTTAGCATAAAGGGCTGTTGAATTTTGTCAAAGGCCTTCTCTGCATCTGTTGAGATAATCATGTGGTTTTTGTCTTTGGTTCTGTTTATGTGGTGAATTACGTTTATAGACTTGCATATGTTGAACCAGCCTTGCATCCCCGGGATGAAGCCTACTTGATCATGGTGGATAAGCTTTTTGATGTGCTGTTGCAATCGATTTGCCAGTATTTTATTGAAGATTTTTGCATCTATGTTCATCATGGATATTGGCCTGAAGTTTTCTTTTCTTGCTGACTCTCTGCTGGGTTTTGGTATCAGGATGATGTTGGTCTCATGAAATGATTTGGGAAGGATTCCCTCGTTTGGGATTGTTTGGAATCGTTTCAGAAGGAATGGTACCAGCTCCTCTTTGTATGTCTGGTAGAATTAAGCTGTGAATCCATCTGGACCTGTGCTTTTTATGGGTGGAAGGATCTTAATTGCTGCCTCAACTTCAGTGTTTGTTATTGGTCTATTCAGGGTTTCGACTTCTTCCTGGTTTAGGCTTAGGGGGATGCAAGTGTCCAGGAATTTATCTGTTTCTTTCACGTTTACTAGTTTATGTGCATAGAGTTGTTTGTAATAATCGCTGATGATGGTTTGTATTTATTTATTTATTTATTTTGAGACGGAGTTTCACTCTTGTTACCCAGGCTGGAGTGCAATGGCGTGATCTCGGCTCACCGTAACCTCCGCCTCCTGGGTTCAGGCAATTCTCCTGCCTCAGCCTCCTGAGTAGCTGGGATTACAGGCATGCGCCACCATGCCCAGCTAATTTTTTTGTATTTTTAGTGGAGACAGGGTTTCACCACGTTGACCAAGATGGTCTCAGTCTCTTGACCTTGTGATCCACCCGCCTTGGCCTCCCAAAGTGCTGGGATTACAGGTGTGAGCCACTGCGCCTGGCCGATGGTTTGTATTTCTGTGGAATCTGTGGTGATATCCCCTTTATCGTTTTTTATTGCATCTATTTGATTATTCTCTCTTTTCTTTTTTATTAATCTGGCTAGTGGTCTATTTTGTTGATCTTTTCAAAAAAACAGCTCCTGGATTTATTGATTTTTTTTTTGAAGGGTTTTTTGTGTCTCCTTCAATTCTGCTTAATCTTAGTTATTTCTTGTCTTCTGCTAGGTTTTGAGTTTTTTTGATCTTGCTCCTCTAGCTCTTTCAATTTTGATGTTAGGATGTCGATTTTAGATCTCTCCTAGCTTCTCATGTGGGCATTTATTGCTATATATTTTCCTCTAGAGACTGCTTTAAATGTGTCCCAGAGATTCTAGTATGTTGTGTCTTTGTTCTCATTGGTTTCGAAGGACATCTTTGTTTCTGCCTTCATTTCATTGTTTATCCAGTCAACATTCAAGAGCCAGTGGTTCAGTTTCCATGAAACTGTGTGGTTCCGAGTTAGTTTCTTAATTCTGAGTTCTAACTTGATTGCACTGTGGTCTGAGAGACTGTTTGTTTTGATTTCCATTCTTTTGCATTTGCTGAGGATTGATTTACTTCCGATTATGTGGTCAATTTTAGAGTAGGTGTGATGTGGTGCTGAGAAGAATGTATATTCTACGGATTTGGGGCGGAGAGTTCTGTAAATGTCTGTTAGGTTTGCTTGGTCCCGGTCTGAGTTCAAGTCCTGGATATCCTTGTTAATTTTCTGTCTCGTTGATCTGTCTAATACTGACAATGGGGTGTTAAAGTCTCCCACTATTATTGTGTGGGAGTCTAAGTCTCTTTGTAAGTCATTAAGAAATTGCCTTATGTATCTGAGTGCTCCTGTATTGGGTGCGTTTATATTTAGAATCATTAGCTCTTTTTGTTGCATTGATCCTTTTACCATTATGTAATGTCCTCCTTTGTCTCTTTTGATCTTTGTTGGTTTAAAGTCTGTTTTATCAGAGATGAGAATTGCAACTCCTTTTTTTTTGCTCTCCATTTGCTTGGTAAATCTTCCTCCATCCCTTTATTTTGAGCCTTTATGTATCCTTGCATGTGAGATGGGTTTCCTGGATACAGCACACTGATGGGTTTTGGCTTTTTATCCAATTTGCCAGTCTGTGTCTTTTTGATTGGGGCATTTAGCCCATTTACATTTAGGGTTAATATTGTTATGTGTGACTTTTATCCTGCCATTTTGATGCTAACTGGCTGTTTTGCCTGTTAGTTGATGCAGTTTCTTCATTGTGTTGATGCTCTTTACCATTTGGTATGTTTTTGGAGTGGCTGATACTGGTTGTTCCTTTCTTTGTTTAGCGCCTCTTTCAGGAGCTCTTGTAAAGCAGGTCTTGTGGTGATGAAATCTCTGAGTACTTGTCTGTTCGTAATGGATTTTATTTTTCCTTCACTTATGAAGCTTAGTTTGGTTGGATGTGAAAATCGGGGTTGAAAGTTCTTTTCTTTAAGGATGTTGAATATTGGCCCCCACTCTCTTCTGGCTCGTAGGGTTTCTGCTGAGAGATATGCTGTGAGTCTGATGGGCTTCCCTTTGTGGGTAACCCAGCCTTTCTCTGTGGCTGCCCTTAGCATTTTCTCCTTCATTTCAACCCTGCTGAATCTGACGATTATGTGTCTTGGGGTTGCTCTTTCTTGAGGAATATCTTTGTGGCGTTCTCTGTATTTCCTGGACTTGAATATTGGCCTGCCTTGCTAGGTTGGGGAAGTTTTCCTGAATAATATCCTGAAGAGTATTTTCCAGCTTGGATTCATTCTCTCCATCACATTCAGCTACACCTATCAAATGTAGATTAGGTCTTTTCAGATAGTCCCATATTTCTTGGAGACTTTGTTCATTCCTTTTTACCCTTTTTTCTCTAATCTTGCCTTCTTGTTTTATTTCATTGAGTTGATCTTTCCATCTGGAAATGCAGCATCCACTCACCCTCCGTGCTTTTGCTGGGAGCTGCAATCCTGAGCTGCTTCTAATCGGCCATCTTAGATCCTTGGTCTGTTTTGTTTTGTTTTTTGAGACAGGAACCTCCATCTCCCAAATTCAAGCAATTCTCCTATTTCAGCCTCTCGAGTACCTGGGATTACAGGTGTGCTTTACCACGCCTGGCTAATTTGGCATTTTTAGTAGAGATAGGGTTTCTCCATGTTGGACAGGCTGGTCTCAAACTCCTGACCTCAGGTGATCTGCCTTCCTTGGCCTCCCAAAGTGCTGGGATTACAGGCATGAGCCACCATTTCTGGCCAACCAGTGAGTTTTATACCTTCTTGTTACACATTTCTTTCAGGTTGAAGAACTGCCTTTAGCATTTTTTATAAGACAGGTCTGGTGTTGTTGAATTTTTTAAACTTTCGTTCGGCTAGGAAAGTCTTTGTCTCTTCTTCACGTCTGAAGGATAGTTTTACTGGATAAAGTGTTCTTGGTTGACATTTTTTTCCTTTAGCACTTTGTTATACTACTCCCTCCTAGCCTGTAAGGTTTCTGCTGGGAAGTTTGCTGCCAGGCCTATTGGAGTTCCTTTACTTGTTACTTGCTTTTTTTTTTTTTTTTTTCTAAATTACAATTTAATTTAAGGATTTGCTTTGTTTTGTTTTGTTTTTGTTTTTGTTTTGTAGAAGTGGGAGTCTCACTATGGTGCCCAGGCTGGTCTTGAACTTCTGGCCTCAAGCAGTCCTCCTACCATAGCCTCCCAAAGTGTTGGGATTACAAGCATAAGCTACCACACCTAGCCTATCTGCTGCTTTTCTCTTGCTGGTTTTATGACTTTTTCTTTGTCCTTGACCTTTGAGAATTTAATTATTATATGCCTTGGAGTAATCTTATTTGGTTGAATTTAATTGGTGATTTTTTTTACCTTTCTTTACCTGAGTATTTATATCTTTCTCTAGGTTTGGAAAATTCTCTGTTACTATTACTTGGAATAAACTTTCTTTTTTTTTTTTTCTTTTTTTTTTTTTACAGAGAAACAACAAACATTATGCTGTATTTTAATTACATATGTGTAATTAAAAGAGATAAAAAATTTTTAAAAGTCCGTTCCTTCTAGGCTTAAACGTGTATTTAAAATTTCATAGTAAACAAATACTTGTAAGTGATGCTTTTCCCATATTTCCAAATAAGATAATGTTGAACAGACCTTATAATGAGTTTTACATTTGATCTGTTTTTGGTAAATATAGGTGTGCAAAACTGAGTTATATATTCTTCTTTTCAAAAATTCTCCCTTTAATGAACACTTGTTTTTGACACTGGTCAAGACGTTTGGCATACTAAGGGAGCAGTGTCCAGGAAGATACCTGAGAAGACAAGCGTGCCCTCCCCTTATTACCTCCCTTTTTTTCTTTGAGGTTTTAAGATCAAGATATAAGTTATTTTAAGGTCTCAAAATAATCCTTTCACAAAAATAAGAGAGTTTTATGTTGTAAAAACATTAGTTATTTGTCAAAGGTTATGTTCTTTGGTCTTCTTCCATCACCAGCCGTCAGCATCTCCTAAAGATCGGTTTTTTCTTCATAATGACACCTGCATGCGGCTCGCTGGCTGTCCAGATATGGTTTACAACCTAAATGTATAACACTGTCAAACTAGAGCTCCACTGTTGTTTCACAGGCCTGAACATGCCGAGTTAGTCCTAGTGTTTTCTGTACGTCTCGGCAGATCTTGGAGAGGCAGTACTGGAACTCCTCGTCACAGTCATTCTTGCTTTTGCCACAGGTCTCATAGCACCTGTCATGTTGGTTGCAGCATTTTGTCAGGGAAGGGATACCAATGTTAAGATGAACACCAAACAGTGGAGAACCACATCCATTCGGTGGGGAGGGTTTATAACCATAACGTGGGAAAGGCTTAGATCCGTCACTGCATTTATACTGGCAGAGACCGTCCTCGCCTCCCAGGAGGTCCAAGGCGGCGTTCAGGTACGTGTCTATCTTGTGAACGCCGTTCCGGATGGTCTTCAAGGTGGCCCTCCAGTCGGTGTTCTGGGCCTGCTCCTGGCACCTGACAACAGCAGCCGCGAGGAGCAGCAGGAGGATAAGCGCGGGGCGCGGGAGCAGGGCCATCCGCGCAGCGTGGGGCTCTACGGGTCCCCGAGCCCGGCGGCAGGCGCGTCCCCACGGAGCCCCCGGGACGCGCTAGGCAGCGGCGCGGGCCCGGGGCTTGGCAACCGCCGGCTCCATATCCACGCCTCCTTCCCCGCTGGCCGGCAGGGCCTCGCTGGCTTTACGGGAACCGCCTCTGGGAGGCAGCGCCGTCCCAGAGACGCTTCCGCTCACCTAGGCCAGCGCGCCCGCTCCCCGTCCCCTGTGCGCCTGCGCCGGAGCGCGGCGGGGCGGCTACTTGGAATAAACTTTCTACTCCCCTCCATGCTCATTCTCCACTACCTCTTGATTGCCAGTTACTCATACATTTGTTCTTTTGATGCTATCCCACATATTCTTTAAGCTTTCTTTGTTCTTTTTCATTCTTTTTCTTTCCTCCTCTGTATTTTCAAGTAGCCTGTCTTTGAGCTTGCAGGTTTTTTTCTTCTGCTTTATAATTTCTGCTGTCGAGACCCTGTAATGCATTTTTGTTTGTTCAGAATATTTCAGCTGCAGGATTTCTGTTTCATTTTTTAAAGATTATTTTAATATCTTTGTAAAGTTTCTTGCAAACTTTTCTCAATTATTTCTCTGTGTTTTCTTGAAGTTTGTTGGGCAACCTCAAAACAAATGTTTTCTATTTCCTGTCTTAGATCATACCTCTCCATCTTTTCAGGATGGGCCACTGGTACCTTATTTATTTGGTTTGGTGAGGTCATAGTTCTCTCAATGTTCTTGATGCTTTTCAATGTATGTCAATATCTGGACGTTGAAAAAATGGATTTTTATTCCAGTTTTTGCAGTCTGGCCTTGCTTATACCTGTCCTTCAGAGGGCCTTCCAGGAATTCAAAGGAGACGGTTGGGTTCCCTAAGCCTGTGGTCACTGTAGCCATCTTAGCACTTAGAGGGCACCCTAAGCCTGTGTTGCTGGTACTTTGTTAAAGACTGCATTGTCCCTGGCCCAGATGGACCTGAGTAAGACCCAGGAAGGGTTCCCCACCTCGTGTTGTAATGCTGGCCAGGGCCCTGAGCCCAGCACTGGTTTAGTTGCTGTGAGCTTAGTACTGGGTTCCAAGGAAAAGTCCCATGCACAATTCTGTCTCCTTCCCCAAGCAGATGGTATATTTCTCTGCACCATGTTGCCCATAGTTGGGGGGAAGGGTGATGCGGGCAGTTCTGTGGCTGCCACAGCTCATGCTGTGCAGGGTTTCACCTGAAGCCTATGGCCTCTTGGACCAGGGTGTAAGTGGGTTATGCCCAAGGCCCATGGCTGCTACCACGCTGAAATTTATTTGGGGCCCAAAACCACTTTAGATGGCCAGCGATGTGAGAATCACATTCATCCTGATAGGGTGGTGAATTCTTCTTCTTTTTTTTTTTAATCTAAAATAGACTTTTTCTTTATTTTTTATTGCATTTTAGGTTTTGGAGTACATATGAAGAACATGCAAGATTGTTGCATAGGTTCACACATGGCAGTGTGATTTGCTGCCTTCCTCCCTTTCACCTACGTCTGGCATTTTTCCCCATGCTATCTCTCCCCACTTCCCCACCCCCCCGTCCCTCCTCCATTTCCCCGCAACAGACCCCAGTGTGTAGTGTTCCCCTCCCTGTGTCCATGTGTTCTCATTGTTCAACACTCGCCTATGAGTGAGAACATGCGTTGTTTGATTTTCTGCTCTTGTGTCAGTTTGCTGAGAATGATAGTTTCCAGGTTCATGTCCCTACAAAGGACACAAACTCATCGTTTTTGATGGCTGCATAATATTCCATGGTGTATATATACCACATTTTCCCTGTCCAGTCTATCATTGATGGGCATTTGGGTTGGTTCCAGGTCTTTGCTATTGTAAACCATGCTGCAATGAACATTCGTGTGCATTTGTCCTTATAGTAGAACGATTTATAATCTTCAGTGGTGAATTCTTTTCTGGTGTTTAGTGCGGGTCTAGAATCTTTGTCCTTGGGCACAGACCTGGAATTAGGCTGTGGGGTTTTGCCTCATGCTGTGTATTACTGTGGCAGACTTGGCACTGGGCTGTAAGGCAAAGTCCCACGTCATTAACCAGAAGGAGTTCTGCCATGTGGACAGTGTCTCTCATCACTGCTTAGAGTTGGGGTATAGTTGGTGCAAACAGTATGAGACTATCTTTCCTGTTCTCTTCAATGCATCTTCTTCTTGTAAAATATAGTGCTTGTATCTATCAACTGGTTTTCCTAGCTGTAGTGAAAATATTTTTTCGTGTGGATAGTTGTTCAAATTGATGTTTCTGTGGGGAATTATCTTTGAAGGGTCCTATTCTGCCATCTTGCTGTGCCTCTGTGTCACTGATCTGTTGTTTATTATTATTTTTTGAGATAGAGTCTTGCTCTGTTGCTCAGGCTGGAGTGCAGTAGCACTATCTCGACTCACTGCAACCTCTGCTTCCAGGTTCAAGTGATTCTTCTTGGCTTAGCACCCCTGAGTACCTGGGACTATAGGCATGCGTCAGGCACCAGGCCTACCTATTTTTTTTTCTTTGGTATTTTTAGTAGAGACTGCGTTTTGCCATGTTAGCCAGGCTGGTCTTGAACTCCTGACCTCAGGAGAACAAAGTGCTGGGATTACAGGTGTGACCACTGCAGCTGAACAAAGTGCTGGGATTACAGGTGTGACCACTGCAGCTGAACAAAGTGCTGGGATTACAGGTGTGACCCACTGCACCCCACCTCTTGTTTATTTATTTTTTATTTTTTTGAGATGGAGTCTCTGTCACCCAGGCTGGGTGGCATCTCAGCTTACTGCCACCCCCGCCTTCTGGATTCAGGTGATTTTCCTGCCTCAGCCTCCCGAGTAGCTGGGATTAGAGGCAGCCGCCACCATGCTTGGCTAATTTTTATATTTTTAGTAGAGTTGGGGTTTTACCATATTGGCCAAGTTGGTTTGGAACTCCTGACCTCAAGTGATATACCTGCTTCAGCCTCCCAAAGTGCTGGGATTACAGGCATGAGCCAGTGTGCCTGGCTAAAACAATCACTTTTTGCAAGAACACATGCAAACAAAAAGATACACTCTAAGCACATCAGAATGATTTGGGTGGAGGAGGGAAATAGGGATGAAAAGTAAAAAAATTTGGGAGCCAGGCATGGTGGCTCACATCTGTAATCTCAGCACTTTAGAAGGCTGAGGCAGGAGGATTGCTTGAGCCCAAGAGTTTTAGTCCATCCAGGGCTACATAGTGAGACCCACCTCTACAAAAAAAATTTTAAAAAGCTAGGTGTGGTACTGCACAGATGTAGTCCTAACTACTCAGGAGGCTATGGTGGGAGTATTCCTAGAGCCTGGGAAGTTAAGGCTGCAGTGAACTGGGTGCACTCCAACCTGGGTGACAGAGCAAGACCCTAATTAAAAAAATTTTTTTTTCAATCATCTTTTAAAGTTTAATATAATAATCTTTTTAAACTGGCAAGGCTTGGTGTTTCAGAAAGGGATTCGTTCTTTGAAAAACTTCTTCCTTGGAAAGTGGTCTGTTAAGATCAGAGGTTAGCAAACTATGGCCCTTTGGCCAGTTGTGCCTGCTTACTGTTTTTGTAAATAAAGTTTTACTGGAATACAGTCATGCCCATTCATGTACATGTTGGCTTTGGTTGTACTCCCACTACAGTGTCTGAGCTGAGTAGCTGCAACTACTCAAATGGCCCACAAAGCCTTAAATATTCAGGATTTAGCTCCCTACAGAAAAAGTTTGCTAACCCTCAGTTTAGACTTTCTGTCTCTTTTGGAGCCAGTTTTGATTCTAACTTGTTAGTTTCTCTGTATATTGTTATCAGTTTCTTTTTCCTGTGATAGTTTGTTAGTCTTTTCTTGCTTTGTGGTCAATAATTTTCTGAAAGGTGTTTATCTGCTGTTTTTTCCTTTTTCTTTTTATATGTAAGACAAGTAATGTGTTGGCTGACGTTGTAACACAGTTTGAGAGAGGCACGTCTCAGACACATATGTGAAAACCCAATCATCATGCTGACGAACTGCAAAAGGATCGTGTTGTGTCTGCAGTTTTCTCATGGTTGGATTGAAGTTATGCGTTTTTGGTGAAAAAATACCATAGAGGTGATTTGCACTTCTCAGGGTTGACAGATTAGTCAAAGAGAAATACAGGATGCGGCTGGGCGTGGTGGCTCATGCCTGTAATCCCAGCACTTTCGGAGGCCGAGGTGGGCAGATCACAAGGTCAGGGATCAAGATCATCCTGGCCAACACGGTGAAACCCCGTATCTGCTAAAAATACAGAAAAATTTGCTGGGTGTGGTGACATGTGCCTGTAGTCCCAGCTACTTGGGAGGCTGAGACAGGAGAATCACTTGAACCCCAGAGGCGGAGATTGCAGTGAGCCGAGATCATGATGCCACTGCACTCCAGCCTGGCGTCAGAGCAAGAATCCATCCCAAAAATTAAGGAAAGAAAAGAAAAATACAAGATGCTAGTTAAATTCAAATTTTAGAGAGACAACAAATAGTTTTATAGTATGAATATATCCTATGCAATACCTTATTCTCAGTGCATTGTATCAGAGGTTACCCAATACTGGTATTTCTGGGGAGGTAAACTTTGATGTTAAGGTGGTGTTTGGGGTTCTGTCCACTGAATGTTGCCATTTATTCCTTTATGATTAATAAACATGGCTGTATGTGGTGGCTCATGCCTGTAATTCCAGTGCTTTGGGAAGCTGAGGCAAGAGGATCACTTGAGTCCAGTAGTTTGAGACCAGCCTGGGCAACATAGTGATACTCCATCTCTACACACAAACGCACACAAAAGCTATGTTGGTGGTGCATGCCTGTGGTCCCACCTACTTGGGAGGCTGAGGTAGGAGGATCACTTGAGCCTGGAGGGGAATGGAGGCTGCAGTGGGACATAATTGCACCATTGGCCTTGGACAGAGGGAGACCCTGTCTCAGAAGATCTTGGAGACTATGGAAAATCCTGTCTGTCCTCAAACTTACT